AGCGTGTGCACAGAGATAGAGTGTGTGTGCAGAGATGGAGTATGTGCCCAGAGATGGAGCGTGTGCACAGAGATAGAGTGTGTGTGCAGAGATGGAGTGTATGTGCAGAGATGGAGTGTGTGCCCAGAGATGGAGCGTGTGTGCAGATATGGAGCGTGTGTGCAGAGATGGAGTGTGTGCACAGAGATAGAGTGTGTACAGAGATGGAGTGTGTGCACAGAGATAGAGTGTGTGTGCAGAGATAGAGTGTGTGTGCAGAGATGCAGTGTGCACAGAGATGGAGCATGTGCACAGAGATAGAGTGTGTGTGCAGAGATGGAGTGTGTGTGCAGAGATGGAGTGTGTGCCCAGAGATGGAGCGTGTGCACAGAGATAGAGTGTGTGTGCAGAGATAGAGTGTGTGTGCAGAGATGCAGTGTGCACAGAGATGGAGCGTGTGCACAGAGATAGAGTGTGTGTGCAGAGATAGAGTGTGTGTACAGAGATGGAGTGTGTGCACAGAGATGGAGCGTGTGCACAGAGATAGAGTGTGTGTGCAGAGATGGAGTGTGTGTGCAGAGATGGAGTGTGTGCACAGAGATGGAGTGTGTGCACAGACATGCAGTGTGTGTACACAGAGATGGAGTGTGCACAGAGATGGAGTGTGTGTGCAGAGATGGAGTGTGTGCACAGAGATAGAGTGTGTGTGCAGAGATGGAGTGTGTGTGCAGAGATGGAGTGTGTGCACAGAGATAGAGTGTGTGTGCAGAGATGGAGCGTGTGCACAGAGATGGAGTGTGTGCACAGAAATGCAGTGTGTGTACACAGAGATGGAGTGTGTGTACATAGATGGAGTGTACAGAGTGGAATGTATGTATAGAGGTAGAGGACGCGTACAGAGATAGGGCGTGTGTACAGAGATGGAATGTGTGTGATATGGAGCATGAATATGGGTATGAAATGTGTGTACAGAGTTGGAGTGTGTATACACATATGGAGTGTGTACAGAAGAAGGGCCGAGTGATGATGACCAAGAGTTAGCTGCCAGTCAAGGGGAGAGGACCAGAGGACACTAGTGTTGCTGAGTACCTTGACCATGGCCTTCTACGGTCAGATACTCGGAGAGGATATAAAGAGGCCTTTATCACCACAAGAAGATGAAGTCCTGTTGTGTAAGCCATCCAGCCCATCACAGTTTCTTAGAGCAGCCTTTGACAACAGTAGGTAATCTAAACAACCATTAGAACAACATGGTACCTTTTTCACTCTGATAAGTTAGAGTTGTGTGCAGTGACTGTAGGAGTGGAGTATGTCAAGCAGGGAAGGATGGAGCTGGGGAAGAAGAGACCCGGCTGTAATGTGCTAACTGCTAACGGTACTGCTCCTGGATGCTGCGGTTGGTTCAGCAGGTTCTGCAATGCCACGCTCTGTAACTTAGAACTCTGTCTGTGCAACATCATGCAGTTTTTCTATGGATGAGATGCTATGCTAAGGAAAGCAAAATAGATTTACAGAAAGAAAATATCAAAATTCTTATTTCTATTCACATCCATATTTTCTCTTCAGTTGCTGGTCTATTCTGCGAATCAGATTGTAATTGCATTCATTAGTTATGTCTTTATGGAAAAGCAGGCTAATCATTTTTCAATTTAAGAGGAAAATTAATATCAGAAGTGAGCTGCTCCACTTCCTAATGTGGTATGAAAATGCACTTTTAAGCCCTTGAATGTGATTCTGTAACATCTGTGCTTTTAACTGGGGTGGTGTGTGTGTTGGGATGTGTGGGTTGGGTGTGGGTGTGGGGTGAGTCAGAATTTCTGTAAAAGTTTTTCCAACCCTTAGAATTGACAATATTTACCGTGCCGTGCAAAGTAACTGGCGACGTTTGGTGGAAGTGAGTTTGACCCACTATTCACATCAGTGTAACTTTTCTTTTCGGGCGCAGCTGTGTTAACCCCTAGGCCACCAACACAGGTGGTTTTTCTTCTGCTAATCCAATGGTAGAGCTTTTCACGCGGCTCCTTCACACTGTGAATGCACAGCCCGGGTTTTAAGGCAGAATGTCTGACTGGATCATACTTGGAAAGCGTTCCCTCTTTAAAGCACATAGGGTAGTCTTTCTGAATACAGAAACTGGACTCAGTGGTTCTCAGCCTCTGGCGCGACCCCTTGTCATCAAACGACCCTTTCTCAGGGGTTACCTAAGATCACCGGTGACCCCTGTGATATTTACATCACAACTCAAAGCAGTAACAAAATTACAGTTATGAAGTAGCAATGAAACTAGTTTTATGGTTGGGGTTCACAACATGAGGAAGGTTGAGAACCACTGACCTAGCTGATAATCTTCCTTATGTCAATATCCTAATAAAAATTTGTGAGGAGCATTTTGGCTTTGTAATTTTTTTTAGATCATTTCTGGGCTTTATAAAGTTTTCTGGAGATTTCCATTTCTTTTTGGAATTCTAGTTGAAAATCTTTAAATACATTAAACATCTTAAGTTTTGCTTTTTTACATTTCTTGATTGGGGATGGGGGTTGGGGTGGGGTATATGTGTATGGGCTCTAGCCTCAGCGTGCGTGTGGAGGCCAGAGGGCAGCTTATCTGATTTGATTCTCTCCTTCCCCAATATGGATTCCAGGATTGAATTCAGGGCGTGAGTTTTAGTGGCAAGTGCGTTTGCCCACTGAGCCATGTCGCCAGCTTTTCTTTCTCAGTATATTTTGATTATAGCTTGATGCTTGTGTAACTAGGCAGGATCCTCATCTTCAAGGCCCTATTAGTGTCTGTGGAGTCATTCAGCCAAGTTTTTCCTGTAGGAAAAAAACCTGTGAGTACTTTTTGAACATTTCTTTGTCTTTTCTACCTTCCCGTGTTAGTTTGCAGATCATAGGATCATCAGGTTTTGCTTTTTCTTCCTCCCCTACTCCTTTTTTGTTATCCTTCTCCTGAGCTTTGCTTACAGGAATGGAGGATAGAAATGGGGCTTCAGAAGTTGCCAGGAAGATGTCATGATCGGATTGCTGGGACCTATTTTATCTGCATTCAAGTCACTCATCCACAAGCTGATATGGAGTGTTTCGAGCCCCGCCCAGGGTTTTATCAGGCTGGTGATTTCTGGCTCCATTGAAATTGTTTGCTTAAAAAAATATGTATATATAGATCAAACGTTTGGGCTGTTAAAATGTTGACTTAGGTGATTCCATTCCAAGCGGTACTTCAGTTTTTGTGTGTAAAAGTTCATCCTTCAAGCTGTGTTGCCACCAGCTGAAGCACTGCAGCTTGGAGATGGCAGTGGGGACATGAAGGACCACACTGGTTGCTGATGTTTTAAAGTCTACCATGCTTAAATTGGAAACTTCCTCTGGTTTAGACCCAAGCTGGGACCACAGATGGACCTGATTTTCCCTTTAGTGATACTGTAGAGTTCAGTGTTCGCTGGCTACGCTCACTCTTCTCCTTGGCTAGTCCCCTCTCTCTTTAACCACATTTTAAAAGAAACTTCATACATAAGAGGTTGAAGAGTGAGTGACTTGGAGACGTCTACTTCCATAGGATGCAGACTGCCTCTAGATGAAAACACAGATACCAGAGCAGGTGCTCGAGGGTTGAAGAGTAAGGCCATTCAGTCGCATTCAGTGTAATCCAAATGGAAGATTCCTTGAATTATTGAACATAAAAAACATTTCACTTTTAAATTGTTCGCAACAAGATGATTTAAAGGCAGTTTAAACCTCAATTGATGTTTAATTCTTAATAGTTAAATCACAAACAAATTTTTAGTCCAAACTGAGAGAATATTTTAAACAGTCCGAGTCACAGAGTTCTGTGCCATAAAATGTGACGTGGTGATTTGGGGATTCAGAAGAAGGAATGCAGTCTTCAGACTTAGATTTAGGTATCAGGGTCATTGCTGTATCTGCACATCTAATGCATTTTTCTCTCCAGATCAGGAGGTTTTTATATGGAGAGTGAGAAGGAGCTCTTGGGATGTCTGCCTCTGTAGGAAAAACCTCAGGAGCAAGTTTGTAACAATAAAATGAAAGTGATTGCCAGGATCTTAAGAGGACATTTAGTATAGTACTCCTTCCCCCTCCTCCATACAGCTAAAAGCACAGAGTGCTGGATTAAATACCCGATTTTACTCAGGTTGGATTCAAACTAGCAATTAAGGAAATGGTACAGAACGTTGAAGAGAAGCTGGGAAGGATGCTAATTAAGGATGACAATTGGCGGCTTTTATTGTATACCTTAAAATAAGTTCCTGAAATGTCTCCAATCCTAGCTCTACCTGGTAGTACCTGTGGGTCTTTCTTGCCCCTCCCCTTGCTGTGAGCATTTTAAGCCAGTGGGCTGGCTTCCTGATGTTCACTGTAGCATGGGTGCATAGCCTAAGGGAGTCTTGCACGCACGCCACCCGCTTCTTGCCTTCACAAGCCTTTCCCGTCCAGGTGGGACTGTCTTCCCTACAGCTAGGCCCTGGAAGTCCCTGGTGACTTCAGCCTTCCAACTGCTGGCCAGAAGCAGCGCCAACCGAGTCACGTGACCACTCTCTTCTGGTTTTCTGTTCCACTTTCAAATAAATGGAGGCAGTTAGTTTTTCTATTGGTGTCAACATCAGTTGAAAAATCCATTGCAAGAACTCAGAAAGGGCAGGCAGGACGTGGTTAATTGGTGCATTGGATTTTGTTCCCTAAAGAATAATGGTTTTTAGTTAAGATCCTGAGACTTTGGTTCAGCTACAAGGCATGGGATTTTATGATGACGACTTCAGGAGTTGCGGACGATTGCAATAGTGTTAGTTAGGATTTCCATTGCTGTGAGGAGGCACCGTGACCATGGCAACTCTTATCAAATAAAACACTCCATTGCTGTGGCTCGCTTACAGTTTCAGAGGTTCAGTCCCTTATCATCGTAATGCGGAATATGGTGGCATGCAGGCAGACGTGGTGCTGGAGCTGAGAGTCCTACATCTTTTTTTTTTTTTTTTTAACCAGTCTTGCACTTTATTGCCCTTCCGTTAGGCCTTGACCGCATACTTGCCTAGCGGGTACAGCCTCTCCTTCGGCTGCTGCTTCTTTATCTTCAGCTTCTCCTCATGTTTGGTGAGCCGCCGGCGCATGGCTCTAGTTTTCTTGGGTGGCAGGTCCAGAGGCTTGTACTTCTTGCCCTTGTAGAATTTCCTGAGGTTTTCCTTTTGAGTCTGGTTAATGACGGTGAGAACACGGGCGATGGATTTGCGGACAACTCGTATCTTGGAGAGCTTGGACGCGTCGCCGCCTGTCACCTTGGCGACGCGAAGCTGGGATAGCTCCACTTTCAAATCGTCCAGTTTTTTTAGCAGCTCCTCCTTCTTCTTGCCGCGCAGGTCCCGAGCCTTAATCTTGGCCGTGGCTGCGTTGCTCACCGCTGAGGCCGCCT